AGCTGTGGGCACAGCTCTGTCACCCACGGCCCTGGGCTGCTGTGACACCTTGGGTACAATAAACTGCATTTGGAGAGCCCCTGGAGCCCCACATCCCTCATTCAGGCTCTTATGTGGATCCATGAAACATGAGCTGCCATCAAGGGCAAACCCTGGGATCTGGGGGATCAGGATAACTCTGGGGAGGCCCTGTGGTGCACACAGGTGCAGGATGGTGGGAAGCTGTGTGGATTAATCCTGCCTCGAGCAAAGACAAACCCATCCCTGGGGCTGTCTCTGCTCAGGGGCCCGGCTGCCCCTGGATCCCTGCAGTGCCCAAGGCCAGGTTGGACATTGGGGCTGGGGCACCCTGGGACAGTGGGAGGGGTCCCTGCCATGGCAGAGGTGGCACTGGGTGGGATTTGAGGTTCCTTTCAACCCCAACCATTCCATGGTTTGTGATTGAATGAGCTGAAAAAGAAGCACCCCCAAATAACCAAAAGCTGCATCCAAGGACACAGAGTTCAGAGGGCTGTGACTGCAGTGTCTCTTCAGAACCAGATTTCTTTAACACAACCCTCCACAGTTCAAAATAATAGCTGGTTCTACATTTACTGAGCAATTTTGATTGCTTGTTCCATTCCCCATCCAAGGCTTGTGTTCAGGAATTAGGAGTGAGGTCTTGATTGCCTGGATGGTCTGTAAATACCTGGACAGAGAGGTGATTCCACAGGTTTTAGAATTCTTTCCATGACTCCCTAATGAGATCAGGTGCCACAGGAAATTTGTTTTTAAATATTCTAGGAAGAGCTATTGGGTTTTCAGCTCAGCATGGAGAGATGCTGAGGTAACACCTGCTCTGGGGTCAGCCTTTAAAGTACTCTGGGAATAAAGATTTAAACTACAGTAATTTGGGGGGGGTTGTGACCCATTGATGTAAGGGAAGTTCCTAATTGTTCCCAGTCACAAAACCAGCTGCATTTGGAGCGGAGTGGATATGAGACTTTGGGAACAAAATTACTATTGGGTGATTGTGGCAGTGTTTGCAGGGGTCTTATGTTGAAGGAAGAGACAGAGATCTGACTCTATATTTCAGAAGGCTGATTTATTATTATATATATTACATTAAAACTATACTAAAAGAGTAGAAGAAAAAGTTTTCAGAAGGCTAGCTAAACTAAGAATAGAATAGAAAGGAATGATAACAAAGGTTTATGGCTCGGACAGAGAGTCCAAGCCAGCTGACTGTGATTGGCCATTAATTAGAAACAACCAGATGAGACCATTCCCAGATGCACCTGTTGCATTCCACAGCAGCAGATAACCATTGTTTGCATTTTGTTCCTGAGGCTTCTCAGGAAGAAAAAATCTTAAGGAAAGGCTTTTCCATAAAAAGATGTCTGTGACAGGTGATTTCTCTTTAATTCACCACATTTAAGGTGAAACTTTGTGTTTACTTCTGCTACTTGCACTTAGATGAGAAGAGAATGTGTGGGATGAGCCTCCTGTTCAAACTCACGGAACAGCATTTCCCTTTGGCACAGGGAGTGCACGGAGAGCCAGGAGGCGCCTCGGAGAGCAGCCCCTCGCAGTGCCCTGGAGAGCGAGGAGCTCCTCAGGGACCTCGTGGGCTCACTGAACGCCAGAGACTTCCGCGAGCGCATCCGTGGGGTGCGCCAGCTGCTGCTGGACACGGAGAGCAGCCCGGCCCTGGTGCTCGCCAACATCGTCAGGGTAACCGGCACTGTCCTGCATGGGGGCTCACAGGGGGTGACAGTCCCCTCTCGGGCTCTGGCTGGATGTGACAGGGGGGTGACAGTTCCCTCTCTCATGCTCCGGCTGGATGGTCACAGGGGGTGACAGTCCCCTCTCAGGCTCTGGATGGAGGCTCACAGTGGGTGACAGTCCCCTCTCGGGATCTGGCTGGATGTGACAGGGGGGTGACAGTCCCCTCTCAGGTTCTGGATGGAGGCTCACAGGGGGTGACAGCCCCCTCTCAGGCTCTGGATGGAGGCTCACAGGGGGTGACAGTCCCCTCTCGGGCTCTGGATGGAGGCTCTCAGGGGGTGACAGTCCCCTCTCANTGTGGGGTGAGCACTCCCTGGGAACACAGCCCTGCTGCCTCTGGAGCTTTGCCCTAGGGGCGGGATGGGTTAGGAGGGAAAAGACTGGGGAGCAGTAAGGGTTGGGTGGGCATGGAGCACCCTGGGCTAGTGGGAGATGTCCCTGCCCGTGGCAGAGGTGGAAGGGGATGGGATTTAAGGTCCCTTCCAAACAAACCTTTGAGTGCAGCTGCTATCCCAGCACTGGTGGGACTGTCAAGGTGGTGCCTGTGGTAGGAATCACCTGGATACCTCCCACACACCCTGGCTGAGGAGGAGAGGGGCTCACAGGATGTGCTATGCTGGGCACAGAGGAGAGGCAGCCACAAATGCTTCCCAGCTCCCTCAGGGATTCTGCAGGCCCTGCCCGGCTCCCTCAGGGATTCTGCAGCCCCTTCCTAGCTCCTCAGGGATTCTGCAGCCCCTGCCCAGCTCCCTCAGGGATTCTGCAGCCCCTTCCCAGTTCCATTCCCTTCCCTGGACACAGTCTCCCTGCACCTATCCATTTTGGAATCACACACCTGGAATGACCCAGTGATAAACCAATCCCTGTTCTGGATGTTCTGGTGCTCTCCTGCAGGTACTATGGGAGGAGGATGCTCTTCAGCATGATGGCTCATCCTGACTTGGATAAAATCCTGGAGAAGTTTGTGCCCCCCAAGGATTTGCCTTACATTAAGGAAACTGTTGGCAGCCTACGAGAGAAGGTGTGTGGGAAAGCTCTTGTGTAGCACCTGGGGCAGCTGGAGGTGTCCTGGGGACTCTTGGGTGTGGACAATTGCAGCACTGCAGCCACAATGATTCCCTGTGCTTCCCCTGGTCCATGAATTCCTGCTGTGCCTTTGTGCAGGGCCTGGGGGAGATGCCCTTGGATACACCCTCAGCCAAAGGGAGGCGTTCCCAGACTGGAAGTGTTGGACATTTGAGGTCGTCCTCTACTTGCAGAGATGCTCCCATCATCCCAGACAGGTAAGGAGCTCCATTATCCTGGGAGGAACCTGGCCAAGGGGGGAGCACAGAAACCACACAGGGCTGGGAAAGTTAAACATCCCTCAAGG